CAAAGATATTGGTCAAACAATGTTTTTAGGCCGATAAACATACAATACCTCATCTAATATAGAAGATCCTGAAGAAGGCCCGGATTTATGAGGAAAATCGTGAATATGGCAACAAAGATGAGGACAACAGTTTAATGTAAATAATGTAAATAGTTACATTACCTCATCTCAGAAATATAGACAGATCCTGAAGAAAGCCGGAGCGTACAACGGCCGAAACGTCGTGAATATGGCAACAAAGATGAAGACAACGGTCCGAACAATGCAAATAATATAAATAGATACAATACCTATTCTCAGAAATATAGACAGATCCTGACGAAGGCCCGGGCGTACAACGGCCGAAACGTCGTGAATATGGCAGCAATGATGAGGACAACAGTCCAAACAATGTAAATAATGTAAATAGTTACATTACCTCATCTCAGAAATATAGACAGATCCTGAAGAAGGACGGAGCGTACAACGGCCGAAACGTCGTGAATATGGCAACAAAGATGAAGACAACGGTCCGAACAATGCAAATAATATAAATAGATACAATACCTATTCTCAGAAATATAGACAGATCCTGACGAAGGCCCAAAAAACAACGGCCGAAACGTCGTGAATATGGCAATAAATGATGAGGACAAATATCCAAACAATGTAAATAATGTAAATAATTACATTACCTCATCTCAAAATATAGACAGATCCTGAAGAAGGACAACTTCGTACAAATCTTTTAATCATATGGATGAATTAGAAACGTCGTGAACGGTCCGAACAATTAAAATAAATAAATAAATAAATACCTATTCTTAGAAATTAAAATCCGAAGAAGGACCAATATCCATTTGTGATTAATAAAATTAAATCCGACCAATGTAAAAAGTTTCAATATCTCATCTCAGAAATATAGAGATATATAAAAGAAACATATTATTATGGAGTGAGAACAATAAAAGAGCAAGACTTAAGAATACAAATGATAGCGATTGATGTTGTATTGATATTTTTTTCGATCAAAGTTTACAGGAATGTTTCCTACGTCTTTCATTCATCATTTTAAAAAGATGCACTTAAGTTGGATTTACTTTGTTGGTTTCTGTTCGCGTCTGTGTATGTGTGTGTCTATTGTCTATCTGTGCGCTCCACTGAATAAATGTCCGCCATTATTGGTGAAATATGAGAATATTCTTTTTATTTTAAGATATTTGTTGATTTAAGAATAAATTATATTATAATTTTGCGTCTTCCTTAGTTAGTTAGTTTGTTAGCTAATTAGTTAATTAGTTAATTAGCATATACATTATGTCCTGCCAATAAATAATGGACAATTCCGTTTTGATCTCGAGGAAAAACGGAAAAGACACAGACGATATTTTCTTTCAGTGCAACTGAAAGAAAGAATAAATGAAAGAATTCATCATAAAAGAAAGAAAGAAGAAAAAGAATGAAAAGACGAATGAAAGAAAGGAAGAATGAAAAAAGGAATTTTCAAGGATGGAATATACAGTGTGCTGTTCGATAAAAGTGACTCAACTGATTTTTTTTACTAAATGTTCTCTTCTCCGATGAAACGAAAGTTGAGCTAAATTCAAAGGATAAGCGATCTAAAATCCGAAGAAGAAGCTTTGAAAGCTCTTTGAAGTTAGCAGTAAGTACTGTCAAGCATCCGTTCAGTATAATGTTCTGGGGATGCTTTTCTTTTCATGGAACTGGTTTCTTAAAACCTATTGAAAAGACCCTCAGGAGCGAGCAGTACAAGAGAATTTTAGAGTCTTGTCTGCTCCCTTCTACTGAAAGGGTGCAAATCGACCCCACCAAGCTCATTTTTATGCAGGATAATGCTCCCTGTCACAAATCAAAATTGATGAAGGAATACTTTGATGAGAAGCAGGTGAGTGTTATGACATGGCCGCCCTAATCTCCTGACCTCAACCCCATAGAAAACTTATGGAGCATTATAAAGTACAGGCTCTCGAGAAAGCAGTTGAGCAACATACTCCATAAGTTGATCTCTAGGTCAGCCACCATTTTTGATAGATTTTATATTGCCACGGTGTAGAATAGTCAGGGACAATGGCGATGGAGAGAAAAAAAAATAGAAGGAAAATACAGATGGTTTTGGATAGATTGAAAAAAGATCTTTGAAAAGTATTTTTTATCAAACGTTTTGAATCTACCAGCGTCTCTCGTTTCGCGCGAGTAAAGACTGTTTCGTTTATGTTTATAAAATTTTTATCTGCTGAAATCTTAACGGATGAAATGAAATTTTTTTAATAAAAATAAAAATATTTTCAGTTTGTCATATATTTTACTAAATATATACATACATATATATATATATATGTAAGCAAATATATGGATATAGATCCGACAGTATGAAGAAAAATATATTGAAAAAACAAACAAAAATCCTAATATGCGATTATGCTGTTTTAATGTTTAATGTCAACGTCGGACGTTTCGGTCTAATAGACCATATTCAAGACATATTCATAAAACATAATTAACATAGACCATATACAATTCAACATGAAAAAGACGATGGACATAAAAGCAATACCAATCCAAACAGATAACTGAAATCTTTTATATGATCAGCGTTCCGTTTAAATATGATGAAGATGGTCTATAAGACCGAAACGTCCGACGTTGACATTAAACATTAAAACAGCATAATCGCATATTAGGATTTTTGTTTGTTTTTTCAGTATATTTTTCTTCATATACATATATATATATATATATATATATATATATATAGTTATACTCGTTTGGAAAAACCTTAGGTATTTCGGCTTGTAATTGAACAAAACACTGCCCAAGGGAAAATAAGGAAAGAAAGAACTAAGAACATGAAATTGAGGCGAAAACATTCTTCCAGAATCCAAGCTCAGAGTCCAAAGAAAAAAAAACCTCCAAAACAGTAAAGCAAAAAGTACTATATAAAAAAAATTCAATACACTAAGTAGAGAAAACCTAACTATGAATCTAAATTTTAAGGTAAACCTACCTAGCATTCACCAAAACGGATCATCAGGGTAATCTTACCCTGACGATCCTTGCTGGTGAAACCTAGGTAGGTTTACCTGGCTCTTTAGGTTCATAGTTTATATATACAGGACACTTCTTAGATTTTCTTAGTATTTTGCAAGTGATGTGGCAGACACGTTTCATATAATTATGAATCTTACCACTAACTAGAATTCTCAAGACAATGTTGATAGGCTTTAGATATGTTTGTTGAAGTATTTACTCCGAGATACAAATTTAATTACTGCGTTAGAATTCTTGTAAAAATCTGTTGTATGCGGGGGGAAATATCTTGTATAACGTCTGACGATCATTCAAGTTTAATAAAACATTCAACGATCAGGAGATAGCTCAATCTTCAAATTTATTCCATTTTTAGCTTGTTTTTTTTTTGTGGATTTATTTCGTAAAAGCAAGCGAAGCTGAAATGATGAATAAAATAAATACAGTCCAGTTTCCTTCGCATTATATCTTCAAATCCGCCCGCCATGTTGGAAAGGAAGACGCCATTTGCATCGATCCGTCTGCAAATTTGGGCATGATGTATTCAAATAAAATAAAAACAGCACAAGGCAGAAATGCTTAATCGAGACAGGATTTAAAAATCCGAAAGGTAGAGAGAGACAATCTGTCTTGCCAGATTAAGTGTGTGTGTATGTGTGTGTGTTGGGCGGAATATCTCATAAAAATGCAAATAAAACTTCCGTTCCGTTTTAAGAGCAAAATGCCGTTAAGAAAACCAAAATAATCTTTTAAAACTTTTTTCTCATTTGCTTTGATAATAATAATATTCTTCGCGATGTCTGCTACCCGCTTTTTTTGTGGTGTCAGCAATAGATTAATATTTCATCAAAGCTCCTTATGTGTCGGGATTAACATACACTGCTAAAATTATTTTACTAAATCGAAACTAACATGGTCTTGAAACTTGAGAGACATTTCCTATTGTTATGTTCTGGTCTGTTACTTCTGCTACGTATTTACAGACTTTAGATAAAATTTCAAAGAAGAATCTGCAATATTATGGGTCCTGACCTGAAATCTCGGCTTCAGTCACTTTCCCACCGTCGTAATATACATCCTTGTACCTTTTCTATAAATGTTTTTATGATGTTACACATTATGAAATGGACAAAGTCCGACAATTATTTAAGGTGTTTTTTATGTATACACGTTCTTTTTATAGATACAAAATTTAAGTAAATGCTCTGTTTATAATAAACAGTAATAACGATATTTACCGGCCTGAATGACCGAGAAATCTTCAAATCGAACCTGTATCCTATATGGAACCGTCATATAGCCTGACGTGCTTTACCGATTTAGCCACAGAGGAGCGTTTCGTTTAGCAAGGTCGATTTTACTGTTTTTAAACTACAATTTGCCATGATTTTCTCTCACACATTCATGTCTATAAAAAAAAAAAACGTATAAACATAAAAAATGTCTTTTATAATTTTCGGACTTTGTCTATTTCATAATGTGTGACGTCATTTGTTTACATTTGGATACGCATCGAGCAACAAAATCAATTTTAAAGCAGTTATGTTTGGAAAGAAAAGACAATGTATCAAATAGGGCAGACGAAATATCAACACATACACACAGACACACACACGCATATATATATATATTGAATTGAGTTCTATGAGCTGCTGGCGTATTTCGTATAGAGAACGTTAAAATTCCCTTCCTTTCCTGTCCTTCCCTGTTTGACTGTATTCAAATCCCGGCTTGAGGCAATCGGACGTCCAGAGGAGCTGTGTTACAGCAAAAGTCTGTCGTTGCATAACTATATATATATATATATATATATATAGAGAGAGAGAGAGAGAGAGAGAGAGAGAGTAAGATAGATGTAAACTGAGATAGATACATAGTTAGATATAAAAATGGGATCTGGATAAATATGAACAGAGAATGAGATTCATAGAAAGAGAGAAGAATAGATAGATATGAAGGTGATAGATATATCTCTAGAGACTGAGATCGATCGTTAGATAGATATAAATAAGGAATTTGCTTGATTGAAACAAAGAAGTAGATACGAAAAGAAGGAGATAGATAGATAGATAGATAGATAGATAGATAGATAGATAGATAGATGCAAATTGGGATCGATATATAGTTAGATATAAAGAAAGTGAATACTCGATAAATATGATCAGAGAATGAGATTGATAGAAAGAAAGAAAAATAGATATAAAAAGAATGAGACAGAGAGATATGAACAGACAATGCGATAGATAGATAGATAGATAGATAGATAATGAACAGAAGCTGATATAGATAGATATGAACAGAAGCTGATATAGATAGATAGATAGATAGATATGAACAGAAGCTGATATAGATAGATAGATAGATAGATGTGAACAGAAGCTGATATAGATAGATAGATAGAATAGAAAGAAGATGATATTTTAGATAGATAGATAGATAGATAGATAGATATGAACAGATATATATAGATAGATAGATAGATAGATAGATAGATATGAACAGAAGCTGAGATAGATAGATAGATAGATAGATAGATAGATAGATAATGAACAGAAGCTGAGATAGATAGACAGATTATATATAGATAGATGAATAGATAGATGAAGCTGAGATAGATAGATAGATAGATGAGACAGATAATTATAGATAGATTGATAGATAGATAGATAGATAGATAGATAGATAGATATGAACAGAAGCTGAGATAGATAGATAGATAGATATGAACAGAAGCTGAGATAGATCGATAGGTATATAGATAAAAACTGTCCTACCGTGATATTGATAATAATTCTTGTTTTCTGATATTTGGTTAATTTTCAAATATTGTCACCATTTTGTCCATCTTTCCCAATTCTCACATCAGTTATTCTCGTCTGTTCTCGTTATTTCTCGTTTATTTCCCCGAATGCGTCTCTTATTTCCTGTTGCATTTATTTCTGTATGCCTTTATACTCTTTTGTTGAAATCATTCCATTGTTTTATTTATGAAATGATTGCCTGTCTTTCACTGTTTTTGTGTGTGTGTGTGTGTCTCGTACCAGAAGTAGGCGTCTCTCATTGTTTTGAAACTCTTTGAATTCTTCCTCTATTTTTCCTAATTCTTCACGAACTACCCTCTCTTTTAATAGGGACCCTGGTTACCTTTTGTCCCGAGTTAACACAGTAATTCGCGTTCTTTCGTTTTATTGCTTCTCCCAGAACTGACGGAAGTTATCTATCTATCTATCTATCTATCTATCTATCTATATATATTTATATATATATATATATATATATATATCACGTTTTCAACGTATGAGTGTCTTTCAGTACAGTTTCTATGTTCATGTTTCGTATGAGGCAACAATCCTGCACAGGATTTGCAAACAAGTCCAATGAGAGACATGCTGAAAGGTTGACTGTCATATGGGCTGAAATATATATATATATATATATATATATATATATATATATATATATATATATATATATATATACACACACACACATATAGAGATAGATAGATAGATAGATAGATAGATAGATAGATAAAAATAGATAAAATTCTGAACTATATTTGATAGGAAATGCGGAAATATACCATAATCGGGATGACATTGTGTGTGTATAGAGAAGAGATAAGGCTGGTTTAAATTCAGATTGTCAGAGATCAAAGTCCTTCTTGTTATTTAACTCATACCAAGGAGAAGAAGAAACGAATTCTCGCCGTTTTCTGTCATATGACGTAGCAGGCCCATGATCTGATTGATTCGCTACACAACACACATCCAGTGTTGACCACAGAGCCTTGCTTGGGGTGTAAGGTTTCAAGGTTGTTAAGTATGCATGTCTCTTCAAGATTGGGAGCAAACTAGAAGATGCTCCATCATTTGTAATTGTCCACATTGGCAGTTGGAATCATCATTGGTGGCATATCCCAATTTCTGAAGGTTGGCTCTACAGCAGCCAACATCTGTTCGAAGGCAATTTAGATAGTGTCAAAAGCATCACTGGAGCCAGTTGGGAGGGATTCTGTAGGGCTGAGAGTTTTTGTTCCACATTGTTACGGGAAACTATTCCACAATCATTCCCAAGAATGCATGGCCATTCATAGGTAATAATAAAAGAAAATCATGATTACCTATGTCTTGAAGAGAAATGGATGGTTATAAAAAAGAAAAAAAATGAAAAAAAGAAAAAACATGAACATATAATGAAATAGATGTTTTTATCCTTTCATGATTTGGGTGCTAACATTCTGGGTTTTATTCTGTTGTGTTCATTTTTGCACTAATACCCTTAGGAAAGGCATTAATTAAATCTCTTCTGTACCATGCTATGGGTTAAATAGTAGAGTAGATCATAGATCTTACTTTTTATCTTTGGTTGGAAACCAGTCTAAACGAAGGAGATCTCTGAATTCTAAACTATGGAGAAAATTCTGCTTTATTCACTACACCACACCCATCCAGTGTTGCGCACAGAGCCTTGCTTGCCGTATTAAAGTTTCAAGTTTGTTTGCATGACTCTTCAAGATTGGGAGCAAACTAGAAGATGCTCCATCATTTGTTATTGCCGACATTGGCAGTTGGAATCATCATTGGTGGCATACACCAATTTCTGAAGGTTGGCTCTACAGCAGTCAGCAGCTGGTCGGAGGCGATTCAGGCAGGATAAGAAGGGCCAGGCATCACTTTTAATTAAAAAAAAATTCAACCTTAGCGTTGCGACTGTACGCTCCAAAAGTTTGTATCCGTTAACAATAAAACATTTAAAATAAAAAAAAACATATTTCGATTCGCAATGAATTTTTTCGTCTCTGATGCTACCTGGATTTTAATACAAACAAAATAATTTCTCTCCCTGAGGATGACTGAATGTAAAGTCGAAAGTACTTGCGTATTACAAAAAAGACTTTATACAGTTTATAATTATTAAAAACAAGGATCATAACATTCATCGAATGATTTGTAGGTTAATGCACCTTTAAAACCTTTGTTTGCGAAGGGATTTGGCCATTTTATATCATTAACTTTACTAATCCCCTTTTTGTATGAATGATTCATTGTAATATAAATTGGACTGCACCAGATATTTGATATATATATATATATATATATATATATATATATATATAGAGAGAGAGAGAGAGAGAGATAGATAGATAAGAAAAGAATGAGCTATGTATATATACATATATATATAGGGAGAGAGATCGACAGGTAGATATGAACAGAATGAGCTATCCGTCTCTCTCCCTCTCTCTCTTTCTCCCACTCTCTCTCTATATATATATACATATACATATATATATATATATATATATATATATATATATATATATAGCTCATTCTGTTCTTATCTATCTTCGTGTCTCTCTCTCTCTCTCTAAATATATATATATGTGTGTGTATATATATATATATATATATATATATATATATATATATATATATATATATAGCTCATTGTTCTCATCTATCTATCAAGGCGCCTCATCGTAGTGATTGGGTAGCTAACCTAGGTTGCTTGTCACATTTACTGAGTAGTGATGTCGATCCCCACTGGGTGCTATGTGCGTCTTCCCGTACGTCAAAACAAATCTACATTTAATCAGTATCAATCTGTCTACCCTGTTCATAGTTTACTATCTATCGTCACCTTTCCATCTTTCTAACTCATTCACATCATTTCGTATCTATATATCGATCGATCGATCGATCGGGTGATCGACGCACACCTCTGCAAAGACCAACACAATGTACTCTTCTCAAGTATACAGGAAAAAGAAACATTAATTCCTTTGTTTTTTATTGTTCTAATAAATCTTTTACTTTAGCGGGAGGAAAAAAAAGGCTACATTTCTCTTGACCTGACACTAGCCCAGCCTGGCCTTTGCCGTCCATTAAGCTAATTTAACTTCCAAAGATACTTATTATTTGAGGTGAACAATCACAGGAATTGATATTACTCTTGAGGAGTGACTAAAATAATATGATTAGAAAGAAAAAGAGAGTGAGAGTGAGAGTGAGAGTGAGAGGGAGAGAGTTAAGCTAAAAAGCTTAATTTCCCCGAAAATGCCGAAAGTCAAAATTTGCGTCCGGTCAACAGACCGGATAAAAGGTTATTTTAAGGGGTGAAAGAAAATGCTTGGAAATTTCATTTCAAAACTGTCAATCTAATGAAAAAGGATATTGCAGACAGACAAAATGTCTTTTCTTGTAAACACTATACCAAAAGTACATTTATAAACTCTGTAATCGCTTGTAAGCTTCTCAGATATTTTGTTAAAGATAATAACGTTTTTGAACCGAATGGACAACAAAACAAAGAAAAATCTGTCCTCTTCATATGTGCCGTATTATTTAGACCTTTGGAGGATTATAGATCTCCACGATTTCCTCTCTTGTAAATCTTTGTTCTTTGCCCATAACTTTGAAACTTTTTCATAAAGTTGGTTCAATGTGTCAAGCTAGAAAATTCTTTTTTCCAGAATGTATTTTACATATTTATAAGTCTACCATTCGTCCTTGCTTTAAAATTTGCTGCCACATATGCTCTGACGCCCGCGCTATATATTTAGAGATATTTGATAAAATCCAAAAAATGATCTGTGATGTTATTGTTACTGACCTGGCATCCAGGCTTTAGTCATTGTTTCTGCTTCCCTGTGCCATTTATATAAATATTTTCATGGTAAGTGTTCGGATCAACTTTCCTCAATTGTACCTAGACTTTATGAATTTAAGCGCAGTACTAGATTGGCCGTAAGGTCTCATCTTTTTGCAGTTGAATTGGCTAGATGTTATCATAAGTTCTCTTCTCCTGCACTTCTTTTGAAACTTACTTCTTGCTTTCCTCTCAACTTTGATCTTCAAAAATTTAAATGCAATGTCAATCGTTATCTACTGTCTTCCTGATTGCTTTTCTATTGTTCTCACTCAATTTTCGCTTGTGGAACTCTCTTCCGGCTTCTTGCTTTCCTGTCAACTTTGATCTTCAAAAATTTAAGTGCAATGTCAATCATTATCTACTGTCTTCCTGATTACTCTTCTATTGTTCTCACTCAATTTTCGCTTCTGGAACTCTCTCCCAGCTTCTTGCGTTCCTATCAACTTTGATATTAAAGAATTTAAATGTAATGTCAATCATTATCTAATGTCTTCCTGATTACTCTTCTATTTTTCTCACTCAATTTTCGCTTGTGGAACTCTCTTGCCACTTCTTACTTTCCATTCAACTTTGACCTTCAAAAATTTAAATGAATTATCAATCGTTATCTTTTGTCTTCTTAATTCCTGTTCTTTTCTTGTTTTCTCTCCTTAATACTATTTTTCTCATAATCTTCAACGCTCGGAAAACCATTGCGCCTTAGCGGCTTTATTGCCTTGCTGCGGGTAAAATTACTAAAAAGATCCTGCAGTGTCTCTAGAAAAAGACAAAAACAAAAATGGTTTATGGGTGCCGCCCCAAACATAGATGGCCAGAGCCTGGTAGCTAAAAATCTCTTCTCTGATCTAACTTTTACAGTTGAATGGAGATAAACTGGTTTATATAATTCTATACGTCCTAAACAAAGGCTGTAAGACTTCATCACCAACATACAAACGCTAAATTTACTTCTGACGAACTGTTGTACATTTAATGTGACTCCATGTCTCGGAAGTCTGTTCACACTCCTCACGGGCTTTTGAACAGGAGTAGAGATTTATCCTTTGTGTCCTGCTTAGGATTGGGTTTCCGGTTCCATCTAAAGTCTACTTCAACTCTTTACTTTCAAAGTCTCGACCTGAACTCTGAATTATTTTTCACAAATACTTTTTGTTGTTTTTATTCTCCTCCGCTAATAGAAGTACACTGTTCTAAGAAAAGTTTTTAGACAGGAGAAATTAACTATATCCAATTTCAAAATTTAATAACGTAATCCCAACTCATCATAAACAAACAGTATTTGGAACTAGTATGGAGTAGGTCCTCCATTTGCTAGTTTCAGTGCCTGTATTCGATTTCTCATAGATTTGATCAAGTTGTTAACAATCGTCTGATCTATGTTTTGCCACTCCTTTAGTAATGTTTCTTTAACGGTAGCCACTGACATGATTTTGGTTGCACGTTCTTGAAGTTTTCGGTCAGGGTGATCCCAAACGTGTTCTATTGGATTCATGTCAGGATTTTGGGTTACCCATGGCAGTGACTTGATTCCTTGCGATTCATTCCAGGTCTTTGCTACTTTGCTCATATCACATGGCCCTCAATCTTCTTGAAAAAAAGTAGGCATTCTTGTCAATCTGATTGGGTTCAAATTGTGGGAGTAATCCTTTATTTAATATTTGACAGTAGTTTAGACCATTTAACCGCTCGTCAACAAGAATCAGCTCAGATTTCCCTCCAAGCCAGACAGCGCCCTACACCATTGCTCCAATCCCTCCATGTTTCACGGTCGTCTGAAAACATTCAGTGTTCCAAGTCTTATTCTGATTTCTCCAAACATAAACCTGTCTCGAATTCGAATATTGGTAGAATTTACTTTCATCTGTCCAAATTACAGACTACCAAAATTCATAATATTTGCTCTCTAATTCTCTCGCCCAGTCCATACGCCTATTCCTGTTAACCTCTGGAATCAAGAGCTTCTTTCTTGAAACTCTTTTTTGAGAGCCTAGCTCTTTCAGAGTCTTTCTCACCGCATATGTCGATATTTCCATGCTGTTGGCGACATCTTTGACGCTCTGACGACGGA